GGTGCTCTGGCACCTCAGCCAGTTGGGCCTTCGGGTCAACTGGGAAAAGAGCAAACTCTGCCCGACGCAGAGGACCTCTTTTCTCTGTATGGAGTTGGACTCGGTCGAACAGACAGCACGCCTCACGCAGGAAAGTGCCCAGTCAGTGTTGAACTGCTTGAATACGTTCAAGAGCAGGAGGGCGGTCCCACTGAGGCTCCTGGGGCACATGGCAGCTGCAGCGGCAGTCACGCCACTGGGGCTGCTTCATATGAGACGGCTTCAACACTGGCTCCATGGCCGAGTCCTGAGGTGGGCATGGCTACGCGGCACTCACCGAGTCCAAGTCACACCGGCCTGTTGGTGTAAACCATGCTGTGGTTTACACGGATGCCTCCACTACTGGCTGGGGGGCCACATACAACGGGCACGCAGTGTCGGGGGTTTGGATGGGTCCCCAACTGCACTAGCACATCAACCGCCTAGAGTTGTTAGCAGTACGCCTTGCCTTGAACCGTCTCAGAGGGCACTTACGAGGCAAGCACGTGCTGGTCTGCACGGACAACACTGCGACCATTGCGTACATCAACCGACAAGGGGGTCTGCGCTCCCGTCGCATGTCGCAACTCGCCCACCACCTCCTCCTTTGGAGTCAGAAGCATCTGAGGTCACTTCGTGCTATTCACATTCCTGGTCTGTGCGTACATCAACCGACAAGGTGGTCTATGCTCCCGTCGCAACTCGCCCACCACCTCCTCCTCTGGAGTCAGAAGCATCTGAGGTCGCTTAGTGCCATTTACACAACCGTGCAGCCGACGAGCCGAAAACAATTTAAATTCCCCAGTGAGCCTTATCGCACAGATGCTGTGCAAGGTCAGGGAGGATGAGGAGCAGGTCCTGTTTGTGGCGCCATATTTGCCCACTCGGACCTGGTTCCCGTAACTAATGTTCCTCATGACAGCCCTTCCCTGGCAGAATCCTCTGAGGAAGGATCTACTGACTCAGACACGGGGCACCCTGTTGCACCTGCGTCCAGACCTCTGGAAACTTCATGTCTGGTCCCTGAATGGGACGCGGAGGTTCTAGGTGACCTACCCCAGGAGGTAGTTGAAACCACTTCGGCAAGAGCACTGTCTACGAGACACGCTTATGCCTTGAAGTGGAACCTGTTCACCGAGTGGTGTTCTTCTCACTGAGAAGACCCCCGGAGATGCCGATCAGGGTCGTGCTTTCCTTTTTGCAGCAAGGGTTGTCTCCCTCCACCCTTAAAGACTATGTCGCTGTGATTGCTGCCATGACCCCGTGGAAGGGAAATCGGTAGGTAAGCATGACCTGGTCATCAGGTTTCTTAGGAGCTCCTGCTTGCACTGGCCTCCATCAAGAGGATAGGGGACCTGCACGCATTTCGGTCGACGATTCGTGCCTAGAGTTTGGGCCAGCTGACACCCAGGTAATCCTGAGGCCCCAGCTCGGCTATGTGCCCAAGGTTCCAACTACCCCCTTCAAGGATCAGGTAGTGAACCTGCAAGCACTGCCCTTGGTGGAGGCAGACCCAGTCCTAGCTTTGCTTTGTCCCGTCCAAGCCTTGAGATGGTACGTAGACCGGACACAAAGCTTTAAGACCTCAGACCAGCTCTTTGTCTGTTACAGTGGCCGGCAGAAGGGGAAGGCCGTCTCTAAGCAGAGGTTGGCCCATGTGTTCTCACCTCAAACGGGTAGAAGCACTGAGAGGCCCTGGTTTTGTGTCGGCTTGCTAAAACTGCTCCAGAGTGTCAGTACTGTAGACCCTGTCGAGCTCCTCCATCCCCTCGGCAGACAGACGTGGCGGAACGACCGGCGCCAGGCCCTCACTTGATGAATTAGTGAGAACCGGTAGATGGCTTGGTTCCATATGTGGAGACCTAAGTGGATCCCATATGTGTAAAGTCCACGGTATAGCCTCAGAGCCCGTGTTTCCCCGGCAGACTTCTGCCATTTCCAAGAGGGTTATAATCACCTCTAATCTTCCATATGCACCTAAACGGTTGTTCATATGTGTAAGTGCTTCCGAAACCTCCTTCGGTAAGGATGGGGCTTCCGCAACGTTCCTGTTCCGAGTGGAACGGATACGTTTTCCCAGTGTTATCCAATCACACTGAGTGGGTAGTGCTATGACAACAGTGACTGGTCTTCTTGTTGCTCTCGGTTACGTATGTAAACCTCGTTCCCTAAAGGAGGGAACGGAGATGTCACGTCCTGTCGCCACGGCTGCTGTACCACCGCTGAGCGGCCAGGTCACTGGCTTGGCTCCTCAGCGAAAACCTGGTATGCGTTGCATTTGCTGCCTTTTAATGCTCACGCTGTGATCAGCGGCAGCTGGATGCAATCATCGCATGCCAATGTGCATTGGCTCGTTTAGTTTACAATCGAAGTAGATTGGTCTCTCTAAGCGAGATCCCAATTCGTCGGTCACCGACGTGATGTCTCCGTTCCCTGGGGTTACATACGTAACAGAGACGTTATCTATAGTAACCCTGTTGTGTGTGTGTCAGTGTGTTATTTTATTTTTTATTAATTTTAGAAGTTTATTCTTATTTTTCTGTTCTTACTTTAGTTTTAGTTCATTTTTAAGGGTATTTCTGCCTTTTTTATTAGTTTTTGATTTTTTGTTTTAAAACATGTCTATATAGTTTTTATTTATTAGTTTTACTTTATTTAGTTGTAGTTATTTTAGCACTTCAAATGAAAATTGATCTGAAATAAAATCATTTTAAGTTATATTTTCTTTCAGTTAACATTTATTATATTTCATGTAAAGGAAATGTTTAGTTGTAGTTAACAGTTTTGGGGGTAACGCATTACAAGTAACGCAAGTTACATAATCAGATTAGTCTTTGCTACTGACCTTCGATGATCCAATTCAACCATACTAAAGCAAAAATGACACATTTGTGTTATTGCTGAATAGTGTTGAACTTTCTTCTCCTGCATCATATTCTTCATGCAATTTGTTTGAGCTACGCCTTCTACTGTACAGACGTGAATTTACATTTCCTTCAGCCTGACGCTCATTCATTTCACTTTTGTTGTGAAAGGGCTTTTACATTTGTAAAAGAAGAACTTTTTTATATTAAAAACAAACAAGCAAGCCCAGCGCAGATTTAAAAAGTACCGCAAAAGTAACGTAACGCATTACTTTCCATAAAAAAGTAACTAAGTAACGTAATGAGTTACTTCTTTAGGGAGTAACGCAATATTGTAATGCATTACTTTTAAAAGTAACTTTCCCCAAAAACTGGTAGTTAATAACCTTGTGTGTGTGTGTGTGTGTGTGTGTGTTTACCAGCAGCGGTTCCCGTGACGATCGAGGCGATTCCAGATGCTTGCGGTCCACGGAAACCTTCGGTGGCTCGTGGTTGGTTGCTGATCCTCTGCTTTAGCTCTGCCTTCTCTGACTCCAGCTGATCGATGTCGGCCTGCAGCGCATCCATCGTCTCCTCAAACTCCCTGCAGACAGCGAACAGCACTCATTAAACGCTTTAAATGAGGAGCGTTTCACACCTGGCTCATCTGATATCAGCAGAGTGACTTGTACTTCTCCTTCTTCTTCAGCAGAGTCAGAGCCTCGTCTAGTTTGGTCTGGATCTTCTCCACTCGCTCGTCTGCGTCTCTCGTCGACGTGTCTAGCTTCTTCTCCAGTAAACTCAGGCGAACATTCGCCTCGCTCAGCTCCTCACCCTGAGAGATTGTCACATACAGATTTCAGATTTTAATATATATGACGTTCTGTACCCGCAGTATATGTACATATTTATTTGTTTCTAATGTGTCACGAAGACGGAAGCGATGAGATTTCTGCGATCTGACCTTGATCTTGAGGGATTTCTTCAGCTCTTTGATGACCGTCTCTCGGTCCTCCAGCTTGTTTCCCAGACCTTCTGCATCGGTCATCTCGGCTCTGACAGCAGCGGCGCGGATCTCCACTGGCGGACGCTGCACAGATGACACACAGCACATCAGACAGAGCAGCGGCATCATGGGATTGAGCGATCGTTAGCGTCAGTGTGTGTGTGTGTGTGTACCGGACGCTGCGGCCTCTCCGCGTCGTATTCTCCCTCCTGCATGGCGGTGGACATCTTGTTCATGGTGGCGATGACGGCGGCGCAGGACTGACGCAGACACTCGAACGCATTGAGTCCATGAGTGCCATACACCTGCCCTCACACACACACACACACACACACACACACACACACAGACTTAACTTACTTGCGTATTGAAAGTAAAAGTACAAGAAATGCTAAATGGAAAAAGGAGCAAATAAATATATGTAAAAAAATTTTTTTACATAGTTTTAGTAGCAAGATTGTGTTCAGTTACATTTACATTTAGTCATTTAGCAGGTGCTTTTATCCAAAGCGACTTACAAATGAGGACAATAGAAGCAATCAAAATCAACAAGAGAGCAATGATATGCAAGTGCTATAACAAGTCTCAGTTAGCTTAATGCAGTACACGTAGCAAGGTTTTTTTTAATTATATAATAAATAAAAACAAAACAGATAGAACAGAAAAAGAATAGAGCAAGCTAGTGTTAGAGGCCTTTTTTGCTTTTGTTAATTGTTTAATAAATAAAAAGAAAACAAATAGAATACAAAAAGATTAGAGAAGCAAGTGCTAGTGTTAGAGGTCTTTTTTGCTTTTGTTAATTGTATAATAAATAAAAAGAAAACAGTACAAAAGATTAGAAAGCTAGTGTTCGTTTTTTTTGTTTTAAGAAAACAAGCAGCAAATGAATAGAGTGCACGTCTAAAAGGGACAAGTTTTTTTTTTTTTTTTTAAATAAGAATAGAAGAGTGGTAGAGGGTCAAATAAAGATGGAACAGATGTGTTTTTAGCCGATTCTTGAAGATGGCTAAGGACTCAGCAGCTCGCATTGAGTTGGGCAGGTCATTCCACCAGGAGGGAACATTTAATGTAAAAGTCCGTGAAAGTGATTTTGTGCCTCTTTGGGATGAACAATAAAGCGACGTTCACTTGAAGAACGCAAGCTTCTAGAGGACACATAAGTCTGAAGTAATGAATTTAGGTAAAGAGGTGCAGAGAGCCAGTGGTGGTTTTGTAGGCAAACATTAATGCCTTGAATTTTATGCAAGCAGCTAAACGTTAAAAGCAGTTTTAACTCTTTCTTCCAATTTGTATCTTTGGGTAAGAATAAGAAGCACTTCATCTGGTACTTAGTCTCTTTCATTCCAACTAGGGCTGTGACGATAAATCGATGCAGTATCGATTCGCGGACTGATTCTGAGATCTTGCAAATGCATCACGACTCTCTCTGGAATGGATTCTGAGCTTATATTTTAACAGCAGATGGCACTCTACTCTAGTTTTTATCCACACACTCAAATGCTCATGAAGAAGAGCTGAAGAGCGCTTGTGCGTTCGGCTGAGTCTGTAATTTCACCTCGGCTCAGAATGCTTTTATGACGGCAGATTAATGTGTAAACAGTCAAGTCAAGTCACCTTTATTTATATAGTGCTTTTAACGATACAGATTGTGTCAAAGCAGCTTTACAGTATCAAATAGGAAAATAGTGTGTCAATAATGCAAAAGGACAAATTTAGACAGTCAATTTTCAGTTAAAGACAGTTCATCATTGAATTCAGTGATGTCATCATCTAGCTCAGTTCTTTAAATAGTATCTGTGCAATAAAGTCGACGATATTGCTGGAAATGAAGTGTCCCCAACTAAGCAAGCCAGAGGCGACAGCGGCAAGGAACCAAAACTCCATCGGTGACAGAATGGAGAAAAAACCTTGGGAGAAACCAGGCTCAGTCGGGGGGCCAGTTCTCCTCTGGCCAGACAAAACCAGCAGTTCAATTCCAGGCTGCAGCAAAGTCACATTGTACAGAGGACTCAACTGGTTCCTGTGGTCTTGTCCCGGTGGCCGTCTAGGAGACAAGGTCTTCACTAGGGATCTGTCTCTGGGGCTCATCTAGTGGACCTGGTCTCCGCTGACATTCAGGGCTGTCGAAAAGCCCACTGTGAACACCCTTGTAATTCGATTCAACCTTTTCGAATTTAATGAATGATTATTTTAGGTTCAAGTGTGTGTAAGGATTTGGAAACAAACAGAGTACGGCTGTTTCTAAAGCATGCAGTGCCATCTGCTATTCAAAACTACGCTCAGAATCGACTCGAAAAAGAATCGCCATGCATTCGGAAAAACTCAGAATCGATGCTGAATCATTTCTTGATTCGCGATGCATCGATTTATTTTCCTAGCCCTAATCACAACATAAGAAAACATTTCTAGAATCTGCATCTGAAGTGATATTTAGATGTATTTACACAGTTTAATGTAGCTCAGAGGGGAAATGGATGCATTTAACCTGCAGTTACAAATGCATAAATAATGCTTTGTTTTAAACATAAAATATTGAATACTGATATTTTAAATGATTTAAAACATGAAAAAAACAGTCGAAATGTGAAATTAAAACCGCCAGTAGGTGGCAGCTGTAAATGTGTGAGTCGTTGAGATTTAACCGAATCATTCAAACAGCTGATTCATTCAGGAACAAAGCATTTGACTGTGTTAATGAGTGAGTCACTGAATCATTCATTCAGCCGATTTGTTCAAAAAGCTGATCTACTCAATAAGTAACTAGTATAAGCAAAACAGTGCTGTGATCTTTGTTTGGAACTATTTTCGTTGGCAAAATTGAGCAAAAACAGGCAATATTGTGTCTAAAATTACGTAATGCTAACTTTATTAAACATGATTATTACATTTGTTATGCTGATATCTGCAGAGAGAAAAAAACGGCACTCGTTGTATGATATAGATTAACTAGCCTATATTAAATTATATAAATATAAAAAACATACAGAGGCATTTTTTTTCATTCGACAATTTAGAATTCCTTGAATTTTCAGTTTTAATAGACTAATAAATGCACACTGATTTCGTGATATACTCGATGTCAGATCACACATCAAAACAACAATAAAGCTGGGGACACACTACACGACTAGCTGATACACACTTAACGATTGACGTGTCACGACTGAACAAATTCTGCCGAACCAAAAAAACAAAACTCGCAAAAACTGCAGTATCTAGTCGCGCTCCCGCCCACCAAAGACAACACTGCGGACAACACCGGTGTGCTTGAAACGTTAAGGTTTGTTTCACTTTTCTTATGTGCTTAATTTAACAGAAAACATTAGTTTTTTCTGCTATGTTGGTCATCCTAATAAATGTCACAGCAATGTGTCTTGAATAGCTAGGCTATGTTTTGATCGGCGCAGCGCAAACAGCCAACGCCTGGTTATTTTAGGCAATTTAGAAATCCTGGGCAGAACATGTAAGTGGCACGTCTGGTCACCTTAAACAACACTTACCATATTATCGCAGAAGATATACTGTATATCGCACACCCCAGACTCGACTTGAGTGGAAAATGAAATCACCCGCGGTTATGCGAGCACTTGTTTGCACATGAGCAAAGGTGTCTTTTTGTGTGTGTGTGTGTGAGAGAGAGAGAGAGAGAGTGTGAGTGTGTGTCTGTGTCTGTGTGTGTGCGCGTGTGTGTGCGAGTAGTGAGAGAGAAGAGTGTGTGTGTGTGTGAGTGTGTGTGTGTGTGTGTGAGTGTGTGTGTGTGTCTGTGAGTGTGTGTGTGTGTGCGCGTGTGTGTGTGTGTGTGAGAGAGAGAGTGTGTGTGTGTGTGTGTGTGTGAGTGTGTCTCAGTGTGTGTGAGTGTGTGTTTGTGTGTGAGAGAGAGAGAGAGAGAGAGAGAGAGAGTGTGTGTGTGTGTGAGAGTGTGTGTGTCTCTCAGTGTGTGCGTGCGTGTCTCTCAGTGTGTGTGTGAGAGTGTGTGTGTGAGTGTGTGTGTACCTGATCCACTGCTTTGAACATCACGTCTTCTATCTTCAGCGGCGTCAGTCCCTCTGGCTCGGCGAGCGGAGCGATCATCTGAGCTCCTGCCGCTGCTACTTCCTGCAGAACGGCCACCACACGCGTCAGCTGCTTCCTGCAGTCCGCCAGCGCCTCGCCCACCTGCACACACACACACAAAATAAATATTAACACAAACATAATATTAAAAATAAACACAAATAATGAAAAATAAAATACAACTGACTAAACACAAAATTACTAAAACTTTAATCAAAATGGCATTAATATTAAATATAAAATCTAACTCACATTATTAACAATTAAAGGTATATCAATAATACCAGGGTTCGTACAGACACTGCACAATAAAATTCCAGGGGCCTCATTTATCAACAGTAAGTACGCACAGATGTGTGCATAATGAGTGCGTAAGAACAGTTTCACGCAAAGTGTGGGATCTACCAACTTGTACTTAAACATAGAAAATGTGTGTAAATATAAGCACACCTCTGAGCATGCTTACGCAGAGAATCTAGTGGTAGAATAGCGACACTACACATAAAAAACATTTAGGAGTGTCACAGTACAGGTGCATCTCAATAAATTAGAATGTCGTGGAAAAGTTCATTTATTTCAGTAATTCAACTCAAATTGTGA